TGATTTCTTGTAGACTCGTAAAGTTCTTGGAGCTTATCAGGTGTGAGGCCAAGAATGTCCTCATCAGTAGTTCCGGTTGTCTCTTCTTGTGAAGCCTGCTGTCTGTTGGCCCTCCTAGATACTGTATGGCGACTCTTTGATGACTTAAGTGGGGTCTCAACTGGCAAGTAAGAACATATTAATAACATGTTGCGATGGAGAACTTTTGACCTTCCATTTCCACTCTCTGGCTTTACTTCATAACCTGGCATATCCTTCCTCTTCTGAGTTACAAGATAGATTTCACGCTCAGTCATGTTTCGTACAAGAACACGAGCTCCTACACACAGTGCAGTGTGTCTGACTTTCTTGTCATACTGTTGTTTCCCCACGTCTGCACTTTTCTTTGCATGGGTAGAGGCCAAATCATAAGCTTCTTTCATTGCTCGTTGCCAATTTCTGACATATTCAGGATATGTAGAAAATCCCTCTGGAGTTTTCAAGCCAAACACTAAGTCAATAGGTAGTCTCGGGTTTCTACCAAACAGTAGATAGAGAGGTGAAAATCCAGCAGAGTCATGACGGGTACAGTTGTATGCATGAACTACCTTATTGAGATGGTCACGCCAGCGGGATATCTCTTTCTCCAGTAAGGCTCTCAGCATGGATAAAAGCGTCCGGTTGAACCTTTCGACCTGCCCATTACCCTGCGGGTGATAGGGTGTTGTTCGTGAATGTTTAATCCCACTCTGTTTCTCAAGATTGTAGAGAAGCTTGTTTCGAATTCTCCACCCTGGTCATGATGGATGGTTTCTGGGAATCCAAATCTCATGATAAGGTCATTATATAATTTATCAGCAGCAGTCTTTGCAGACTTATCACGGGTAACATACGCCTGAGCAAATCTGGTGTAGTGATCCATGATCACCAATATATACTGGTATCCACCCGAGCTTTGTTCGAGATGAACAAAATCCATGGAAACAAGTTGGAAAGGCGCTGTAGAAACAATAGGTTGAAGTGGTGCATTAACGTGAGTCGCAGGTTTTCGTTGCTTTAGGCAATGACACACTTTCGTGACATAATGGGTAATGTCTGCCCTTATAAACGGCCAATAGAAACGTTCTCTAGCTAGTTCCACTACTCTGTCTGCACCCAAGTGCCCCATGTTTTCGTGTAGTTCTTCATACACCTTTTTGTGGTATTTCTTGGGTAAGACCATTCGGTCTCTAGATCCAGACTTGTGGCAAAAAATTCCATCTTTAGCAATGAACAGTTTGTTCCATTCATGTAAGAGCTGTCGCACAATAGCTGACTCCTTCTGTCTCTCCTGATAGGTCGGATGGCTTCCGACTTGCATAAAGTGCAAAAAACGACCGATTGTGGGATCTTCTTGTTGAGCTGTGATAAGTTCACTATGTGGCATAGTTGGAATGTTAACACACTCTTCCTTTAAGATATCAGGCACTGCTGTAAGTGATGACAACCAAGCGGTCTGAAGAGTGTTAGTTTCATGGATTGAGGAAGTGACAGCATCCAGAACATCTTAACTAGCTACTTCTGAACAACTTTCCATATAGTTCTCAAAGCTGATTGGCATTCGGGACAGGGTGTCACCATCCGCATTGGCTTTTCCTGGTCGATACTTGATTTCAAAGTGGAAATCGGCCAATTCATTAACCCACCGCAAACCTGTGGCATTGAGCTTTGCTCATGTTAGAATGTATGTCAAGGGGTTGTTATCCGTGAAAACATTAAACGTTGGAGAGTAATAAAGGTAATCACGGAAATGGTCCGTCACTGCCCATTGTAGAGCCAGAAACTCAAGCTTGTCTGCATGAAGGTGGTACTTCGTTTCAGCTGGTGACAGTGCTCGTGAAGCATAAGCAATTACTCTCATGACCCCATCCTGGTTTGGTACAACACTGCCCCAAGACCGTCTTTACTTGCATTAGTGTGTAGAGTGAATGGTTTTGAGAAATCTGGGTAAGCTATAACAGGTGGATGACTGAGGTGTCTCACTAACTCTTGAAGGGCAAGTTGCTGTTCCCTAACCCAACAGGTTGGTGTCTTTGAGGGTGGTTGACCATCCTTGCCAGTGCTAGTTAGGAGATCATAAATTGGTTTTGCAATTCTGGCAAAGTTCTTAATGTACCTTCGGAAGTAACTTAATATTCCGGCAAGCTGTCTGACTTCACCAACAGTTCTAGCTGACACTTCCTTTAACTTCTCGATAGCCTTAACACACCCTGGGTCCATCCGGTAATCATCACATGACACAACTCGTCCTAGAAACTGGACCTCACGTTTAAACAAACTACATTTACGCGGCTTCAACTTCACTCCATGTTCACGCAACTTTCTTAACACGGTTCTCAGGTGCTCAAAATGTTCTTCAAATGTCCCGCTAAATACTATGATGTCATCAAGGTATGGTATGACCACTTTGTCCCTCAGTTCACCCAAGCACCGTTCCATACACCGCTGGAAATTGACAGGCGCATTCATCAATCCAAACGGGATCCTTATCCATTCGTACAGTCCACATGGTGTAATGAATGCTGTGGCTACTCTGCTCTCCTTGCTCACAAACCCCTGGTGGTATGCCTTACCCTGATCGAGAACACTGAACCAACTGTTTCCACCAAGACTATCCAGGGTTTCTTGGACTCTAGGGATAGGATGTCTGTCAGCAATAGTCCTGCGGTTAAGTTCTCGGTAGTCGATGCATAGTCTCAGAGACCCATCTTTCTTTCGGACACGGACAACTGGAGAGGAGTATGGAGACCTCACGGTACAACGGTCGAGGGATTGACGTGTACTTCTTCTGCACTGGCTGGCTATCCTTCAAGTTAATCTCCATTTCCAGATCGGGGATACAACCAATATCTTCTTCACTGGATGAGAATGACTCATACTCTTCCCTCAGCATTGTCTCAGCTGCAATTCGCTGATCTTGGTTTAAGCCACTAAGGTCAACTGCCGGGAGTTGGATTTTGCTTTCTCCATCTTGTTGCCCAGAAGGAGTTGGTCTTGTTGGCCCTTGAGGCTCGTGCTCCCTTACATGTTTTTGGTCGGTCCGGATACTGCATTCACTCAGCCTCACGTCTGCCGCAGTCACTGATTTCACTGCCTGAAGA